AACTCACGAATTTCTGGGTTTGTATTTTTTTTGCATGCAGTTGCTAGGTTTCTGATGAACTCTTATGATCTTGATGGGATATTTTCCATCGTTTTCATACTGTTCTTATATTATTAGCAGTTGTGGGTCTAGATTCTTTGAATCCATTGCGAGGTTGTTGCTGATTCCTGCGAATTTCAGGGAGTTTTTTACGACTTGCATTAACTCATTTGGTGTTGGAATTTTTAAACTTGTTGGCTGCTAATTCCATGTTTTGTTGAGTTTTCCCTTTCAAGAATTGGGCTGTTGTTGTTGTGCATGCTGGATTTGGTGCGTTTTTTGTGGAAATGTTGTTTTATGGTTTGACGGATTCGTGGCTCTTGAGATTCTTTAGGAACCGTTACTGCTGACTGTTGCGTTTGGTTTATTTATTGTGATTTCCAGAAATTTTTGTTGCTGCTGTTTGATCCATGGTCTTTGGGAACTTTGGAAAATTGTGTTATTGCCTTGTTTGGATACAAAAGCATTTTTTTATGAAAAAGTGCTTTTCCAAAAAAGCGTTTTTCCTCAAATAACTTTTCCTGAAAACTACTTTTACCAATCACTCTTTCTCTCTTCCGGATGCCATTACTTGAACAGATTATGCTGGTCTTGTGCCGAGTCGGGAAAACGAGTTGGGAGCTGGCTTCGACTTCGTCGTTGCCCTCCTGACGTACCCAATGATGAAATTAAACTGAGGGTATCAAAACCACTTTTCTAACCATTTAAAATTTGCTTGTTCTGTTGTTGATTTGCAGGTTCGAAGAAAAAGTTGAAAGTCAAGAATTGAAGATCGGGGCCGACTTTAGAAGAAATATTAGGAAGATTTAGATTTTAGGAATTAAAATTGTAATTTAATTTTTTTTGCAATTAACAATTGTAATTCTCTTTGTAATTAAATAAATAAAAAAGGAATTTATATAAATAAATTCAACTCCTTACTTTATTCTTTCAATCAATTTTCCCCGATTAAATTTCCAAATAGCGCTATCCGATTAAAATCTTTGAATAATCTCTCTAAATAATTCATCCGCTTAACTCAAACGAATAGATTAAATGTATCCGATTAACTCCTCCAAGTACATTCGTCCAAATGAAATTGTCTGACTAAATTTATCCAAATAAAATCATCTGCTTAAATCCATACAAATAGATTCAACTGATTCCATTTACCCGACTAAATCCGTCCGATTAAGTCAAACTAAAATCATTCAAATAAATTCAAAATAAACTCATTCAAAATAAACTCATTCAAAATAAACTCATCCAAATAACTTCACCCGACTAGTTTCATCTGGTTAAAACTCGTCTGATTAAATTTATCCAATAAATTAATCGATTAAGCTTTGCCATTCTAAACTCCGAATTCGACAAATTAACCATCCTGCACAATTTAAATTCAACATAACTGAGCTCCAACAAATTTCTTCGCAAATTATTTCGAACGTGATGTTAACGTCAGTGAATATGGTCGTGAACAGATAAATAGTGAAATTCAGTTAAACGGCAAAATGAACTGTCTTCTGTTTTGAAAATTCAAACAGCATCTCGAATGTTTCAACTCGGCAACCTGAATCAGCTCGACTAATAATCACGATCAAGCCAACAGATGTTCATTATAAATTCAACGTGACCCGAACTTCCACTGTTTCTTTAAGATTGACCGTTGACTAGCAGAAAGCAGGAAAACGTGCGTTTGAAAAAATAAATTTCTCAAAGCACATTCTCGCACCGATTTAACTCGAATTCACTGATATCTCGACACATTCAAACCCATAGAGTTCCGGAATCAAAAAGTATTTCTGAAATCCGTCTGACGACTGAATCTCAACTCTGGAATAACATGTATCGTGGCGCAAGAAATATGACGTCAAAACCGTCATAAATTCAACTCATTCTCAACTAAGCCACCTGATCGGATATGGGACCTTAATTGTTTGAGGGATTTCTGATGACACTATGCTTCACCAATCATCAGCAAACTGCAAATTAATGACCATTTTGCCCTTCACCAATTAAACTGCGCACAACGTGATTTTTCCTGCGAAACCAGCGGACTGAGCAAACTGGTTAGCGGTCAGTTACAATGCAAATGCAAAATGAGATGGAATGCAAAATGAAACGACTAATCTAAGGGTAAAATTTGGGGTATTACAGATAGTCTCTTCATCTCCTTCCCACTTCTTTCATTTTCAAAACTTCTCTTTATTTCCAAAACTTCTTGTTTTCAAACTTCACATATTTTCTTAATAAACCTTGACTTTGTTAAGTGATTCAGAAAATCTTTTTCTTAATAAATGCTTAAACACTTAAGCTTACTTAAACTCTTTTCTCAAACTTCTAAAAATGAAAAACCTCATCAAACTTCTTTTTGTTCCTTTGTGCACTTTTCTTTAAGAGTTTTTTTTTAAATAATAGATATTAGTCTATTATTGTAGTGATGCAAATCATTATACTTCTACAATATGTTGAAAAGTGATTGACATTTTCCACTTAAATGTTGAGAAGTGCTTGTGAGAAAGTACAAGAAAAAGTTCTCCGTATCAAGATGATGCAAATGCTCAATTCTTCATACTTGTGGATAGTAAGTTGAGTTTTCCACTCGAATATGATAAAATGTTTTTTCAAATTAAAATCAATAAAAAAATAACCCATTTTTTTCTTCATAAACACATATTTGCAAGTGATTCCTATGGAGTATCATAGATGTAAGGGGTGCTAATATCTTTCCCTTGCATAACCAATCTCTGCATCCAAATTTCTCTTTTGTTTTACTTTTATGGGGTTTGTTCGACCTTTCCCATTTCTCTTTCAAAACAATGAAGTTCGGTGGTGACTCTTGTTTTTCGAGTTAAGTTAATTAATAGCTTGATCTCAAATTTTTCCGCCCCGACACACTTTTGTATTAGAGACATTGTCGGAGGACGGGGGATTGATGGATGAGGAGGCAAAGCAAACATATGAGGTAGAGGAGAGGTTGTTAGACACACTCATTAGTTCTCTGTTATTATTTTATCGTAGTACTATTGTTTGTACATTATCTCTGACATTGTTATTATATTTTGTACCTCGATTATATGACATTTTCTTATTATATTACTATATTATTTTTGACACACCCAATAATAGTCTCTTATTATTTTGTACGTCTATTTTTTTTTATCTGAGATCTTACATCATACTTCATTTGAAAACAAATACATAACTTATAGCAAAAAATAACATGTTCTGATACACTTCGGAGATGTATTCTCGAAATATTATCGGAGATGCAGAACAATCAAATGTAAATGGCTTATGAGTGACATGTTCTGAATGTTTAAAATTGTTTTCGAGATATATCTCTGATTATGTCAACGTTTATTAAAAAATGAGCTGGGTCCGAAGCTATATCTCTAAAGTCATAGGACATATGTAAAAATTTACATGTGTTAGAAGTATATAGCAATAGAACATTCTTAAAAAAAATATCTGGCTAACCCAATACGTATAAGGAAATTTTACCCCATACCCTTACAACTAATACCCATAACCCTACATTAAAATTTTTTGGACCAAAATACCCTCGCATAAAAATTTATAATTTTTTTCATTTGTTCACCGGAAGACTTTTTGCAAGTCTTCCGGTTCATATTTTTTTCTTTTGTTCACCGGAAGACTTTTTGGAAGTCTTCCGGTTCACATTTTTTTTCGTTTGTTCACCGGAAGACTTTTTGCAAGTCTTTCAGTTCATATTTTTTTTCGTTTGTTCACCGGAAGACTTCCAAGAAGTCTTCCAGTTCACATTTTTTTTCGTTTGTTCACCGGAAGACTTTTTGTAAGTCTTCCGGTTCATATTTTTTTCGTTTGTTCACCGGAAGACTTCTTGGAAGTCTTCCGGTTCATGTTTTTTTATTTTATTTTAAAATTTTAAAATAAATTATTGACATTATGTGTCATTTTTCTCTCTCTCATTCATCTTTTATTTTATATTAAAAATTTATTATTGAACATCAATTCATTTTTTTGTTGCTCAATAAATTCAGATTTTTGCCTTAAATATATAGTTTTCATATGCTGATAATTTAAATTAGAATAAAAGTATTATTAATAAAATAGTTGAGACAACTGAGTAAAAAACAAATAGATCATAACCTTTTTCATTATTATTAAGTTTTTTATTATTAATATTATTAAAAATTTTATTATTGTAATTATTTATATATATATATATATATATATATATATATATATATATATATATATATATATATATATATATATATATATATATATATATATATATATATATATATATATATATATATATATATATATATATATATATATATATATATATATATATATATATATATATATATATATATATATATATATATATATATATATATATATATATAGTTATTTTTGTGTAATAAAATAAGAATGAATCTGAACTATTAAATTTTAAAATAAATTATTGATATTATGTGTTTGTTTTTTTCTCCATCATTTATTTTATATTAAAAAATTTATTATTAGACATCAATTCATTTTTTTGTTTACTCAATGAATTTAGATTTTTTTCCTTAAATATATAGTTATCAAATACTGATAATTTAAAGAATGATTAATATATGTATCGGTCAATGTTTGAATCCAGAAACTTAAAATAATTTTTTGATATTGGATTAAGTATATTCTGGTCCAAAAAAATTATAAATTTATAAATTTATACACAAATAAAAAAAATTATAAATTTTTATACGCAATATTTTGATAAAAAAAATATTAATAAAGGAGTATGGGTATAATTGTAGGGTATGGAATAAAATTTCTTAACTCAGCCCATATCAAGATGAACCAAGATTAATCGTCAGGCTCAGGCCCAGTTATTAAAGTCGGTTGCCAGCAGAAATCGATCGAATAACTCAGGTTTCCAATTCCTTCAATCTCCGATTCTGAATTCCCAATTCATCTCACAAACCCTAGCGTTAAGGAAAATGCATCCGAAATCATTCCAAATCCTGGTTCAAACGCCAGACCGTCAGATTTGCCCTAAATCCGTCACCGGCGATCAAACCCTCTCTGACCTAAAACATTCCCTCTTCCCCAATTCATCATCCTTCTACTTCACCCTCCATGGAAAACCTATCCCAGACGATACAACTTTCTCCCAATCCCGAATCGCGCCTCTTTCTACTCTCCTCCTCCAATCACGCCTCCTCGGAGGCGGAGGAGATGGAGGTGCTACCGGCGCTGAGTCCCGCGACTGCTACCTTAAAATGTACGCGGAGAAGAAGCCGGATAAAGTGGATCCCAACGAGCAGAGGCTATCGAAATGGCAGAATTGCGCGTTGTCGAATGAGCCATTGAGGGAACCGTGTGTGATTGATAAGCTTGGAAATATCTTTAACAAGGAGTCGTTGGTGGAGGCTTTGTTAGGTAAGAAGCTTCCTAAGGAATTTGGGTATATCAAGGGTTTGAAGGATATGATTAAAATTAAGCTTTCGTCGATACCTGGTGAGGACGATGGGGCTAAGTTTCGGTGTCCGGTTGCAGGGTTGGAGTTTAATGGAAAGTATAGGTTTTATGCTTTAAGGAATTGTGGGCATGTTTTGAGTTCAAAGGCTTTGAAGGAGGTTAAGTCTTCAGCTTGTTTGGTTTGTCATGAGGAATTTGATGAGGCTGATAAGATTGTGATCAATGGGAATGAAGAGGAAGTGGAGGTTTTGAGAGAGAGGATGGAGGAGGAGAAAGCCAAGGTTAGAGAGAAGAAAACCAAGAAGGTGAAGAATGGTGATAATGAGGCTGTGAATGGTTTGAGTTTGGAAGGTTCAAAGTTGAGTGGTAGTAAGCACAATATGGATGTGGAGAAGGCTTCAGCTAAGGTTGATAGAAATGGGAAGGTTGGTAGTGGTAACAAGAGTGTTAATGGTGGTGCAGCTGCTGCTAAGCGGTTTAAGGCGACTGATATTGCCCCGGCAAATGCTACCGAGGTCTATGCATCTATTTTTACTTCTTCTAGGAAGTCTGATTTTAAAGAAACATATTCTTGCAGGTCTCTGCCTCTTGGTAGAAACTAACTGTTGTGTATGGTATACGAGTTTGTACTGGTTTATTCATGTTGAATTGAATGTACTGAATTTTAGTTTGTTATTTGGTTTCATTCCTGCCAGATTGTATCATTAATCTATCTTACTTTAGAAAGGGTTTTTGTTAATAATGAATTAGTTATTGTAATCATTGCTCTCTTTTAAATTAACTCCCAAGTACAAACTATGTTATTGTGTATTGGAATTAATGTGTATTTACTTGTTATCCTTTCCTTTTCCATTGTGGTGTGTTGAGGAATCAAAAAGCTGAGTTTGTTTGCTAATATTATCATCCATCTAAGTTAAGGGTTGATTGGTTGAATCTGGTATATCTGGGTTGGCTACAGGTTTGTGTTATTCATAGAACTGGGGCAAGTGTAGTACTAGCCTATCTTACTTAACATGGTTGAAGGATGTCTTATAGCGTGAACATATCTTCTACTTGATGGATTTGATAAAATAGTAGGATGGTTTTCATCTTCAACTATTCCTAGAAAAATGAGTAATATATAGGCTTTATGATGTCACATACAGTTATAGTTATAGGAGTAATAATGCTCTATTTTCTTTCGTACATTATTGATTATTACTACTGAGATATATGTCTAGGTATTGAATGCTCATTGAGGTGATGCTATTGTATTTGTGTTTTTTTGGTCTTGTCACTCTTTTGACATTGTAAAACTACTATAATTTGAGTTGATTTTTCTTTGCTAAGATGACATTGTGGATGGAGGGAGATATTATAGTGATTCTTTGAACAACCATAATGACGAAACTCAATATAATAAGTTATATCTCATGAGTTCCTAACTCCAATATCTTCTACACAAAAATCTAACATAGATTTAAACAGAAATGAGCACTGAATCTCTCTTCTACATGCTTTATAAAATTGTACTCAAGTATCTAAAATTTAATTAAAAAATGCAACTCGATATACCATGTCATGAAAGAAGTTTGATTGACAGATGAAATCAAAGAAAAGCTGAAATTTTTCATAGTCCTTGTAATGGAAAGTATGTCAACCTAAAAGGTCAGTGAATAGTATATGAAATTTGAACATACAATTTCACAAGTCATCATCAGGTGTTTCTTTCACACAGAGCATCTCTAATTACAGCACATAGAAAAGGCTATTGCTCAGTTACTTTAAAAGAAAATCAAATAACACAAGAAGGCCATAAAAATACTCTTCCATTTCCCTTTCCTAGTGTCTTTACCAAATAACAGACACAGAAAAAGGTTATGTCTTGCGTATTAATTGTATATGAGGTGTAGCAGAGTATCAATATGCTGAATATAACAAGTCTGAAATAAATAGTCAAAGGCAAGACATAAATTAATACACAGAATGAGTTCTACAATGACCATCCGGAAAAAGGTTCACTCAGTCACAACTTCAACTTCAGATTTCTTGTCATTCATGACACCTTCCTCATCGAGGATGCGCAGATCTGCATAGTTTCTATGGTTCAAAGAATGCAACCATAGGCCAACAGTTCCTTCCTTATGTTCAGTGGAAGCAATATGAGAATATATGTACTTCATTTTGAACTCCTCAGCTTCTTTCTCATATGCTTTCATCGACACCTCTTCATGTGTATCTTTCCACTTCTGGTTGTATGAAGTAAAGAAGCACTCGTCCAAATATAATCCAACCTCCGGCGCAGTAGGCACGGTGATGCTAACTTCCCTGCATTTTGGAGGAAAAGATCAAAATACAAACAACATCAGATGATTGTCACACTATTTCAAATACAAAGTTGGAGATAGACTATATAACACTAATAGTACTCACTTTTGCAAAGCTTTATCAATAAGTGACTCGGGTGCACAATTTCTCATGATTGCCACGGCAAGCCCCATCATTTTCCGTATCTGATGAAGCATGAAGCTCTGTCCTACAATCTCACACTTCACAAATTCCATGCCGTCGACTACAACAGTGGTACTTGCGTCAAAGGAAATAATGAAACGGTGAGCAGAAGGATCTTCGGGTTTTATTCTTGTCGTGAAGTTATGGAAATTATGAGTCCCAACGTAATACTTCAAAATCTTGTTAAATCTCTCCCTCTCCTTCTCACCATAAGTAAACACACTTTTTTTAACAGGTGTATCGTCGCCGTTCACTTTTTCTTCCTCGAGAGCACCTGAATTATTCTCAGCAGAAACCACTGTCTCAAGACCAGTTTTAGAGTTTACTTCTTCAACTAAAACCTTACCTTCGTCATTGTTAATGGATTCTTTATTTAAACCATTTTCACCCTCTTTGCGCAAAGAAACCTCCACATTCTCTGTAACTCCAGAGTTAACCACAACATTTCTGTCTGACAAACCATTGGTATCAACATTCACAGCTTCTATCTCAAGATTGCGCTTACTATTACCAACCAAACCTTCCACCTTTCGACCTCTCTCAGAACACTCCAAACACTTAACAAGCTCATTTTCAGACCCTAAACTAGCCAAAACAGTCTCTCTATCACGATGACAACACGGATCAAGAGCAAACACAGGGATGAGGTAAACATACCTCCTCCGGTCACAGAACTTCTTGGAACTAAAAGAAGCTGTCACCCGCTTAAAACCAAAGATCCGTATCTGCGACGGAAGGTTCGAATTAAGTCGTTCAACAAAGCCAGGCGGATCAATATAGAATCGACCCGAGACAACCTGTCCAACCGCACTAACTCCTTTATCAGTTCTAGCAGACCGAGCCCAGTCATAGCGTTTAGAAAGCCCGCGATCCTGTTCAGGCACTGCTCCAGACACATACAAGGCTTCTTCTAGTTCACCTTCAATAGTCTTGGCACCAGGGTTTTTCTGCATACCCTGATAACCAACGCCACAGTAAGCAAAGAAAATAGCTACCTTACGACGCTTGTATCTTATCTTAGTGCCTTCAGCAGTTGTGCACTGCTCATCATCAGAAGTAGTGGTAGACATCTTCACCTTCTTGGGCTCTGGCTCTTCCGCAGCAAGATTAGGCGACGGCCGTGGAGATGAACTTGAACTTATCGGAGTATTATCTGAGTTTTCCATTATTATAAGCGATAAGAATCCAATGCCACAAACCTAAACGACAGTTTGATATATTAATACAAATAAAAACAGATCCTAAGCTATTCTTCAGTACAGATTCTTCCACAACATTCTAGTTATACATAGAACTACTGATTCATTTTCTTTCATCAATCAAATCCTAATGAATTCGTTTAACCAATCTCATCCTAGTTATTATAAAATAAGGGGGAACTACAGAAACCGATTAAAACGTTGAATCAAACAATGGATACAGAGAATATATTAAACTTTCAACAAACAAAAAAAAGAAAGAGTTTGAAGAAGAAGAAGTATTACCAGAGGCAGAGAAGAAGCGAGAGAATGCGCCAACGTAAGACAGTGGTCGGGAAAAACTGAAAGAAGAAGAAAAAAAACCTTAAAACCCTCGTTTCGCAATCACAACTGAAACTCCATCCATGAAACGAAACGAAGTGAGTGTTTTGTTTTGGGCCCCCGAATTCAATGGATATGGGTTCCGGGAGGTTTTATACTGCCACCTCACGGTCCTGACCTGCACCCCACAAGGTGTCTTTATTAATTTTTTTTTTTTTAAGTTTAGGTGAATACCGGATTTCTTTTGTAAATTTTATACTTTGGATAAAATATTTTTGAATATTTTTTTCAAATATACGGGATATTTCGTATAAGTATGTTGAAATATTAAAAAATTCATAAATTGTTGGTAAAATTTTAAGGAATTATGAAAAAAGATGAAGAAATATCGGATATTTTAAAAATTCGAAATAAATTGTCAGATATTTTAAGAATCGGTAATATATAAAATCTATCGGACACACCAAATTTTTCAAAAATTGTTTAATTAATGAAATTATTACATATATTTTTGACATTTTTTATCAAATTATAACAGATAAAAAATATATATATAATATCGTTACAAAATAAATTGTATCAGACTTTCTACCTTCTTCTCACACTTAACTGTAACCTTCCAACAACTTTTACTTGACACAGACTTCAGTATAAATAGACATTTCACTTTCATAGTATAATTTTTTGCAAATACATTCTTCTTTTTATAATTTTTTCCTCTCTCACAATTCATAATCAATTTATCTTTCACCCCCTCTCATCTTGTTCGCGGTATCGGAACAAATAATAACAACAATAATATCATGTTGTTTACCAACAGACTGCGTTCAAGACCGGCCCAGTGCAGGTGCCATGTTTTAGAGGGTTCACTTTTATTTTTTAATTTTTAAAAAATATATTTTGCACCTACTTTTTCAATAATGTGTGTAAAATATAGTTTAGTTTCAAAATCTATATCTTAAAAAGATATGTAAAATTATAATTTATTTTTAAAATCTATGTATTTTTATCAATTTAAAAAAAAATTGATGTAAATTAATATATTTTTTTAAAATTATAATAGAGCTTCCGGATTGATTGGGCCGGTCCTGACTGCGTCCATGCCAAAATGTTAGTCCGAGAAAAAAATATATGACATTTACAACATATACAAAATAAATTATCAATGTCACAAATATCATAAGCATATTTGAACTACTTAAAAATTAAAGATTTATGTAAAATATATCGCAAGAGTGGTAAAAAAATTGAATAAAATTCACAAGGGAACTATCAGATCAAAACTCCACAAATGAAGCATATTGAATTATCGGATTTTTAAGTTTATGCAACAAAAAAAATCGGTATAATGTGTTTTTCCAAAAAAATCCTACAAACTTTTCCAAAAATTTTGGAATCTCCAATAACGACAACATTAAAATTTGTCTTTTTTAGTCTCATCATCACAAATTTCTCATTTTTTATTTATGTTAATCATTTTTTTTATCCGATGATATTTTTGATATCTTACTTTGATCTCTTTTAACATCATCAAAACCCTTTAAGTCTTTTAGACACATAAAACCACATTTCCTTAGCTTTCTTATAATTTTTCATGTTTTGACATTCTTTCATTTAGACCAATCTTAAAAACATTCTTTTTTTTTCCTTTAATGTTACTCTAACACTTTTGTCCCACTTTTTTTTTATCCTTAAGTCCAAAATCTCTTAATTCTCTCAATATCTCTTTTGCTAATTTTTCAATATCTAGGTTCATCTTGTCCCACATATTATTTACACTTCCTCGTGGATGATGATACCTCCCTCAAAAATATTGTGTTAGATTTTTTTTTTGTTTTGTTTTTTTGCTCTTTAAATGTCACTACTTAATTTTTGGAATCTTTTGTGGCTTCTTCTCTTTATTCTCCTCTTGACTCTTATATCCATAACCAATATCCTATGTTGGTTAGTCAAGTTCTCCCCTAGTATAACTTTGCAGTCCAAGCGAATATTTCTATTTGATTTCTTAATAAAAAAGAAATATATCTAAGATCATGTAACCCCACTCTTTGATGTGATAAAATGCCCATCTATTTTCTTGAATGATATATTAGCTAAAATAAGATTAAAAGTCGAATGAAAAATCTAGGATGAATTTATCATATGCATTTACCTCTCTGAGACCACTCCCACATGCACCCCCTCAAAGCCTCTCGAGATGCACTATACATACTTATTTAGATCCCCTCTTAAAAAAATATTTTTTCTTTAAGGTATATCATGAACTAAGCCTTCTAATTCTTTCTAAAATTTTACTTTAAGATGTCTTGCTAACCCAATTTGAGACGTGTACGTACTAATAACTTTAAAGGTGTCGTGTTCCACTACAAACTTTAAAGTTGTAAACTGATCGTCTATCCTTTTTACATCCACAATATTCTTCTTATATTTATTGTATACAATAATTCTACCTATTTTTCAATCTAACATTTCGGTGTATCAAAGATTAAATCTTGAACTATCTAGTTATTTTTTCCATTTACCCACCCACTTAATTTCTTGTAAGTACATAAAATTGATCTTTCTTGTATCCATAATGCCCATTAATTTTTCTGTAAAGATGCCTATATTACATGTTCAAGAATAATCTTATTTTCAAGAATTAACTTTTTATTCATACCCCATTCACAAAAATGTGAGAACTTTTACTTGACTTTTATTGTATCAGCCGCCAACAACACTTACTCATTTGACATTTAAAACAAGTCACAACAAAAGAGTAAAATATTAAAATTAATTTTTATGAAAGTTATATAAACTAATTTCACTTTAAAAATTAATTAACAAAAATATATAATTCAAAAAACTTTTCAGAAATAGTGTAACAAACGAGTTTATATCTCGTCTCGTGGCTAAATATATGAACCATAGTTACCGTTTATTATATTTGCCTTGCTCATGTAGTTTTATACACATAATTATTACAAGCGAAGATCAAGATTACAAATGAGACAACAAGGGATGATTTGAAGAAAATAATGATCCAAGGATTCCAACAACTAGGCAGACTTTTAGCAAAACAAACTTCTCTTTGTTTAGTTTTAATGACTGTGAGTATTGGACACACAATAAATTTTAGCAATGTCTAAGGAATTAAATATGTGTACTTCTAGTGTTATGTCTAATAAACTTTTTACTGCAAGGAGAAAATCTTAGCAATGTTTAATGAACATGTGTACTTCTAGTATTCATCTTATGACATATATGAAGCTCATCCACTCTATGTCCTCCAAAAGTTGCAATTTTGTACTTGCAAATAATTCTATTGATGAGCTTAGCTTAACCAATCCACACAAACACCATACGATATCGCCAACACTTAGTTTTCTGAAGTGCATATAACCCAAGACATTACATAATAGGAATTCAAGAAAGTATACTTCGTTAGCAGCTTGTCTATCCTGCTCATCTTAAAATTTCCTTCTGATTGGCCGAAGTGGATCAAGTGACTAATGAGTACCGACCTCTGTAAGATTCCTGATAACTAATCCCGATACATGCCAGTATTCCTTCGGCCACCCCGCAAGCAGCATTACTAACAGACCATATTGGATGTTTGTCACAGGTTTGAAATTTTTGGTTGCTGGCTTTAATTTGGGCCATTGGCTTGTTAGTAACCTTCCTTGTGGGTGGGTGACAATCCTATCATTGGTAACCAACAAGCAAGAGACACCAAACAACCAACGCCAAAGCACTAATTGCAATACTCAGCAGTGAATCATCATCCTGTAAATGAATATACACAAGAAATTGAGTTATTAATAAAAGGAGAATAGAATAAATTGTTTTCAAACAATAGAAAACAAGAATTTGGAATTAACAACTTTCAGGATTTTCCATTGGAGGAAGCAATGATATGTTACAGATTCATGCTTTAATGTAAAAAAGAAAACATATTTCAATACTTACAAATGGAGTGATCATATGCAAAAAAGTATGATGGAATAGAAAAGAACATGGGACATTTTTTTTATTAAAACTGAATGGAAATGGAAACTAAACTGACACAAACTTACTTAAAAATGTAAAAGTATAACTAGTCTTCTCACGAAAATCTCAATCAACGTAGAGTTTTCTGAATTGAATCAACAACATAATCTTACGCTGTGCACATGTAGTAGATAATCTTTCCAGTATTGCTACAAGCCACCACAAACACTAAGTTGTATCTCGTCGCTTCCTTCTTGATCTTCAAGAATAAAATAAAATGGAAATAAAGGAAAATAAGTTAAAGAATAGAATAAAACCTGAATCTGTTTCAACTAAAAACCAATATCTCTCTCTGTATTTATATATTTTGAAGACATGACGAAGATGTTGGTCAAGGTTCAAATCATCTCAACAAGTTAATGTGATGCTTTTTTTGATGGCAGTGATTAAACCACATACCAACTGTACAACCCATACAACAAAGTAAAACCATGCTATGAGTTGTGTTGATAGGTAAAGAATGGGACACCTATCAAATAATACCTGTCAAATTATCTAAAACAGTTTCAGGCAATGAATCCGAAAGAGGTTCATATCCTTCATCTTTCATCAATTTGGTTAACAACCTTAACTCTGATCGTATTTCATCAATCTGCGGGTGCATATTGTCTCCAACAACAAATACATGAACCAAACTCTTTAACTCAATCCAGCTACAGCCAGGTTCTTTATTCACCCCTCTGGCTTTCATCATTCTCCTGACACGTTCCACATTTTCCCACTCCCCTAAGGCTGTATATATACTTGATAACAATACATAAGCAGATGACTCCGGTGACCCTAGCTCCATTAGTTTCTCTCCAGCATAAGTACCTATTTCGTAGTTACGATGGTTCTTACAAGCTCCCAATAATATGCGCCACAAACACAAACCGTGATCAACCGTTGCAGATTCAATGAACTCTTTAGCTTCATTGAGCTTACCAGCACGGCTCAAAATGTCAACCATGCAAGCGTAATGCTCTACTGTTGGAGCAATGTTAAACTCATCAAACATCATCTTGAAATAATCCCAGCCTTTGTCCACCAGTCCCATATGACTACAAGCAGATAGAAGATTTACAAACGTGACTGAATCAGGCTCTATTCCCTCCAATAACATCTTCTGAAACAGCTCCAAGGCTTTGTTACCATGACCGTTTTGAGAAAGTCCAGATATCATTGCATTCCACGAAATTACATCTCTGGCAGACATCCTCCAAAAAATAAGGTAGCCATCAGCTAGACTTCCACACTTTGCATACATAGCAGAAAGAGCACTTCCAATCGGAACTTCCAACTTGAAACCATATTTTATGATCCGGGCATGCATTTGCTTTCCCTGGTCTAAAGCAGCTAGGCTGGAACAAGCTCTTAGGACACTTGCCATTGTTAGTTCATTCGGGATAACTCTCTCCATCTGCATTTTCCCATACAGATTGAGACCCCCTTCGTAATCCCCATTTTGTACATACCCCGTTATGATAGAAGTCCAAAGAACAACATCAGGTTGCTGTATACACTCAAAACCCTTACGAGCATCCGCTAAGTTGCCGCATTTTGCATACATATCCACCAAAGCTGACAAAACATATAACTGCAATCCAAATCCCAACTTGAAGGCAAAACCATGCATCTGTTTGCCTTCCACAACAGCACAAAGGTCACTGCAAGCATTGACCACCCCGACTAAAGTAAACTCAGAAGGCAACATTCCAGAAGAATGCATTCTATTAAAAAGCATCAAAGCTTTATCAGAGTCCCCACTCTGTGCATAACCAGTAACCATAGCCGACCAAGTAATAGAATTCTTATCCCCCGAAAATTCAAAAGTCCGAACCGCATCATCAAGACTATCACACTTAGCATACATCGTCACAAGAGCATTTGCAACAGAAACAATAGTAAGCAACCCATTTTTAACCGCAAGCGAATGAACCTGCCTACCAACACCGACAAACTCATAATTCGTCAATGCGCTAAGAACACTAGTAAGAGCAAACTCATTCTCAATCTCTTCCTCACATCGCATAAGTTCAAACACCTCAACCGCCTTATCAGAAACGCCAATAGAAGCATACCCAGAAATCATAGTAGCCCACGAAACGGTATTTCTGTTGGGCATTCTATCAAACAGTTTACGAGCATCAAAAACAAAACCCGTTTTACAATACATATTAAGTAGAGAACTCCCAACATAAACATCATCCAAGCAAGCGGTTTTCACAGCAACCGAATGAGCTTGTCGGCCAGCAGTTACATCGGAGAGATTAGACGCGGCGGAGAAAACACCGGCGAGAGTATGTGCATTAGGGGTGACGTTGTTGGTGCGCATCATACGGCGAAAGAGGTATATAGCAAAGGAATAAGATGCAGGGGAATGGTGTTGGGAGAAAGCGTTGATGAGGGAGTTCCATGAAACGACGTCTTTGTGGCTGTCGTCGATGGAATTGAAGAGGATGAGAGCTTGTGATAAGTGGTTGGACTTGGCGTAGAGATTGAAGAGAGTGTTGGCGATGTAAATGGAAGAGAGGGAACCGTTTTTGAGGATGCGAGCGTGGAAAGTGCGACCTCTGAGGATGTCTTTGTTGTGAGTACAGTTGATGAGGTCTGTCAAGAGTTGTCGATGTTGGGAAGGAAATATCTTTGGAAGAGACATGCATGCATCAACATTCAACACAAAGATTCAACGCATCACTCATAAGCGTGTGCTATGTGACAAAAATATTAAAGTACCCCCACTTAAAATTAAAAATACAAATTTGCCACTCAACTTTAACAAATTACACAATTTTTTTCATCTCCTTCTTCTCTTCTGTTTTCTCTGATTTCAGTTTCAGACTCATTTTCACCATTTTTGAAAACTCGGAGTTCATCGCTATCTCCAACTGAATCACTATTAAAGAATAATCATTCTCGTCCAATTTGTCGACTCCGCGTTCTCCACCTTTCCACCGTCTTATTATTATTCGATTTAATCTTATTCGGTAAGTTTTATACTTTCATTGGTTTCTCTGTTCTGCAAATTTCGAACAGAATGTTTTTGCTCATGGATCATGGATGTTACCATTTTTTTTACTTATGGGATTTGATGTAAAAAATGGGAAAATGTGAGATGAAAGAAGAGGTTTGTGTAAATGTATCTAGTTTTGTGCGCCATGTGTTTGATAAAATGCTTGACTTAAAATCTTTAGAGTTACTAAACATTCTGTTTTTTAAAGAGACTCAAAGTGCCATTTATTTAGTTTATGTGCTGGATTTAGTTCTTTCAATGTGGGGAATATGAGATACAATTTCTTCAAAATCTTTTTTTTACACTAGCATGTTTTAAGCCTAAATAAACTTCTTAGGAGGCTAGAAATTTCCTTTCATGTTTTTATATAAAAATGGCTACTTATGTAGAAGTATTCTTAAGGAAAATAGGAGGTGCAGATTGAAGATGCATAACATATTTTCATATATGGTTGCTCTAACTTTCATGGGGAAAAATATTGTAAGGGTTCAAAGTTTGTATTGTCAGTACTAATCCATTCCATTTTTATCCTTTCAAGTCAATTGTAACATTAATTCAATTCCCACTCAACTCATTCTTCCAATTCTATTCGTATCACTTGTTAAATTTTTCAACTGCTAATGTAGTAGGCTTCTCTATCTGGTCGATGCGGATTAAGTCCATTCCCGGTCGATTCGTTCCCTTGAAGCAATAGCAATATATGTTGTTCTTTCAATTCAATCCATCAACCCCTTTTCTGGTTTTTGGATAATGCGAGAACAACTACATTATATATTCCTCTCAGTTTTTTTCTTATTGATGGGTTTTCATTTTTGTCAATTGATTTACTTTTTGAAGCGGCAAATGTTGGTAGTGTTAATTTTTGCTTAGGGTGGGGATCGAATCCTTGATTCCCTTATCACTCAACTCACTAATTCTCCACCCCAGCCACCAACCCTTATATCCCCTTTTGAAATTGAATCAATTGAGTACATGGGGTTTTGCTGGTTTTAGCCAGTGTTTGTCGCAATGATTGCAGACATTATTGAACATCTAAGGGGGTCGAGTATCTAGGTCTTCTCCCAATTTTTTTTTTAATATTTCACTTTTTGCTTGGAGTTTTAATCCTAGTTTTTTGTTATCTTTTGGTTATAATGTTTTAAAGGGCTTCTAATTTTGATATATCTTATATCCAGGCTTTTTTTTAATGCAATGTTGAATTGAATTTGAAGCCTAGAATTGTGTTTCGCAGTGTTCAATTGAAGTCTAGAATTGGATTGCACTGATCGCATGTCCCCTGTCTCCGTTCTCAACCTAAATTCTCACTCATCTCCTTCCATTTCCATTTGCAGAGAACAGTGTCACCGGAATTAAAGTTCTACCGCCACTAAATCGTGGTCCAAGCCCGCCGCTTAGTAAGTTACTATATGCTTTCCTTGTTGTCTCTCTGATGTTCTTCAAATTTCAGCTGCTACTGAATTTTCAATAAAAAATCCTTCAGTTTTAATGGGACCAATTGTTGTTTATTATTGAAGATGTGTGAGTGCTCGATTTTGGTTTCTTACAGAATGGTATTGTTCATGGCTGTTGAATATTTGTTTACTAATGGGATTTCATGTAATAAAAGAAACGGGCAAATGTGAAATGAAAGAGGGGTATAGTGTAAGTATGTCAGTTGTTATGCTCCAATTGTTAGCCAAATTGCATGACTTAAAATCATTAGACTGACAGTGACTACACATTCTGTTTTTGAAAGAGACTCAAAGTGTCAATTACAGTTAAAATTAAATGGTGGATTTGGCTCTTACAATGTGGGGAATATGAGATACCATTTTGAGCTGGATGTATTTTTCAATATCATTTTTACATTAAAATCTTCTAAGTCTTACTGGATATGTCTTCTAAATATCTTCCGGTTTTATTGTTAAAAGGCTAAAACACATCCTTTCAGGTTCTTATATAGAAGTTGCTACTAATGTCTAGAATGATCCTTAAGGGAAAAAAGGGGGCACAGTTGATATATGCATAAGACATTTTGATAGTAGGCTGTTCTATCTTTCAAGGGGAAAAACACATAAAGGCTTGAAGTTCATTTTTTTCAGTTTTAATCCATTTTTTCTCCTTTGAAAGTCTTTGTTGCAACATTGGATTTTTGGGCTCCACTCAAAAAGAGCTTGTATTTTAGGCTTTCTTCTATAATTTTTAAAAATATACCTACATTTATTGTTCTTTTTTTTAAGTTTAGATCTAAATTCTCAAACATCAATTCTATAATGTCTAAAGACCCAATTTGCTCACAGTCCAATTCAATCACTTACAAAAGTAATACCCAAATTAGTCCCCTAACATTTTATGCAGGTACAAATTAGTCCCTCTATTAATTTTGACTCATAATAACAAATGGACTAATTTGACTCCATATGAAAATGTTTGAGACTAATTTAGTATTTTTTGTTAGGGACTGAATTCTTTAATTTAACAATAATGAATTGGCTTCAATTGTACATTAATTCAATTCCCGTGTGAGTCATTCTTACTATCTTATTCTTAGCTTTTATGTGGTTTTTCAATTCGTAATGTAGTAGGCTTCTCTACCTGGCAGATGCATTAATTCAATTCCCACTCGACTCGTTCCCTTGAAGCAATAGCAATATGTGTCTTTCTTACCATTCACTTCCTTAACCCTCTTTTTGGTTTTTGCGAGAACAGCTAAATTATATATTCCTTTTGAGGTTTCTTTTTTAATTGATGGGTTTGCATTTTTGTGACAATTGAGTAAATGGGATTTTGCTGGTTTACGTATAATTACTTATAGACATTTCATTGTTATGTTGTTTTAGCTTTAAGTGGGAAAACCATTCTAAGGGTTTAATGTTCATTTTGTCTGTTTTAATCCATTTTTCTTTTAACTCTGTTGTAACATTGGATTTTTGGGTTCGGCTAAAAAGGGCTTCTTTTTTGAGGAACAAGGACTATTTAGTAATATTTATAATAATACTTGTTTATTGGTAGTCAGAGATTTTCTGGGGGCGAGGACTCATGGTTACTCGCATAATCAAAAGAGCAACTACATTAGTTACTCAAGTTGGTTAACATGTGTGCTCTTTTGTTTTGGGAGGACCATAATTCCCAAATTATCATGCCACTTCACTCAAAACCCGCCTTTTATTTGGGACTGATGAAATTGCTTGAACATAAGGAGTAATTTATACTTTCTACATTAATGTAGTTTTTAAAGTTTGCGACACAATGGCATATTTGTTGTGTGATGTTGAGTCACTTTTCAGGAAATCATAAATTTTTTTATTACAATTTTTAAATTTTTATTTACAGCGAACATTTGCTGGAGATGCTCTGGGACTTGTGCTAATTGCATCATCAACAATCTGAATTTACGGATATTGGCAGTGTTTTTTCACTTGATAACCTTAATGTCTATTAGAAGACCCCCATTCCCTCGACTCCTCCTTAACAATGTCTCTTGCATGAGAAATGCCCAACAAATTCTGTCTCATGTGAATGTCTCTCTTCATGATGGAGGGGCACTTGTCCTAACAGGTGCAAATGGCTCAGGAAAGACAACTTTTATGCGCATGCTAGCTGGGTTTTCTCGTCCTTCTGCAGGCGAAATCCTTTGGAATGGCCATGACATTCAAAAGTCTTTGATCTTTCAACAGTATAAGCTTCAGCTTAACTGGGTCTCCCTCAAGAACGCAATTAAAGAAAAGTTCACTGTTCTAGAAAATATTCAGTGGTTTGAACTTCTTGAAGGCAAGCAAGGGAAAGCCATGCCTGCACTTGAGTTGATGGGACTAGGAAGATTGGCTAAGGAAAAGCCAAAGATGCTTTCAAGTGGCCAGCAGAGAAGATTGCAACTTGCCAGACTGCTCGCAATTGATCGCCCCATATGGTTGCTAGACGAGCCTTCAGTTGCATTAGATGATGAAGGTGTAAAGTTACTCGAGTACATTATTGCAGAACACAGGAAACAGGGAGGAATCGTGATTGTGGCGACTCATTTACCCATTGAGATAGAAGATTCCATGGTCATGAGGCTGCCACCAAGGTTTCCAAGGAGGATGACATTTGTAGATATGCTTGACCGCGTGGATATTAGTTAATTCTTATCTTTTTTCATATTTTACATCAAGACGGAATTAAGTTCTAAAATTATTTATTGGATATCTAGGTCATTGGTGACATTTCATTTACAGAATCCTCTATTTAGTTTTCTTTGAAAAATAGTCTTATTGAAGTACTGTCTTACTGGTTATGCTTGTAGAATTGCAGCCTGATGACCATTCTGCTAAGAAGTACTGTATTTCTTCTAAGAATAAGATAAATGTGTATTTCTGGTTATGCTTGGTTATCTAGTCTTATTGAAGTACTGTATTCTGCTAAGAATAAGATAAATGTGTATCTGCCAAATTCAACAAAAAAATAAACAAAGTGTTTGTTACATCCATCTTTTGCACTGGGAATTGTGATGGATTATTTTGATACTATGCTGCACACCTACTTTCTAACTGGGATAATCTGAGTACAAGTCACACCAGCATGGGTGCAATACACATTGATTACTTTTTATAATACACGGACACCCCCAAACACGACTATGACATTGACATGGCGACCCATGTAATAATTTAAAAAATGTATAAATTAAACATCATTAAAAATTTCGATGCAAGTGTCTGACACATACAAACACGTTTCTTTCCAGAGGTGTTGGTGCTACATAGATTACTACTGATAAGCATAAGCGAGCTAGGGGAGCAAGCAATAGCCTTGGACCACCAAATGCGAATCAGGGGACATGATCCTTGGTGCAGAGACACACAGATTGGAGTTAGGAAGTGTGATCCAAGGGGATGCAACTGTTTGGAAATGATGCATGCAGTATCCAAAATGACAGTATCCAAAAATACAAGTCTAAAAAGCAAATTTGACATATTTCAGCTATTATTTATATTGTATATTTATATTGTATAGCGGTAATTGTCTTCATAATTGGTGTAGTGCACCATGGGATTGTAACTTGGAAACATTGAGCCATAACGTCCATAAGTTGCCCTTGGCTGACCCGATCCATGGTATGGTCCCGAATACGGAGGCCTTAATCCCGGATACATCGAAGGCGGCATTACATATCCTCCATGTTGATGTTGGTACATGTGCATTGTTGGGTGATAGTTGTTGTGATATTCAGGGAATGGTCGGTAATTGTACGGTGGCCGCGGTAGTCCATGTTGATTACCAAAACCAAACATGTTACTATGTCTGTCATGCATTTTATTGTTTTTCTGATGGTGATGTGTCCTATGTTTATGACCATGATCAGTTTGAGTATCATCCTCAATGTCACTACTCTCATGACAAGCACGAGAATGAAGCTTATGTTTGGCATGAGAACATGCTTCCTTGTTCTTTGGTTCTTTGTCAAAAGACCAAAGTTGTACCTTTGTTCCCATCTTCTGAAGAAGCTTAATTAGTTTCATGGGATTTACATCACCAATAACTCTTACCTTCCCTTCACTTGGATCAATGGAAATAGATTTCACTCCTGATTACAAAATTTACACTTTAATCAAATTCAAATGCTAAAAAATTTTATAGAAAAAAACCAAACATACCCTTAATTTGTTTCAACATGTCGGTGACATCTTCTGAGCATCCCTTTGTGCATCCAAAATCAACTTTCAAAGTAGAAATCTGATTGAATAAAATGTATGAGAAAATAGTGAATAATAAATATAAAGTTTTATATGAAACAAAAAAAAAACTTGCTTACAGGAAGTTCATTACTGTTTTCCATTAGAGTAGAGTATGATAAACTTCTTCCTTATGGAGAATGAGATATCTATAAATAGTGAGATTGGATAATATAATCATGATTAGAGCTATAAATTTTCTTAACATAGTAATAAATTAGAGCCACCGACCTTATTATTATTAGGGTTATTCAAATGTGTGTCAAATATTAACTTTCCATTTTCAACTTATATTGTATCCACGAATTGATTATGATTCTTAAAGAAAAATAAATCTCCTATTTATGTTATGGACAAATATGTGTCTTCATATCTCCCATAATTTTAATATGTTTTATATTTATACAAAACCAATAGAGTGTCTTTTAAGTTTAATCTTCAAAAACATTATTTATTTTTAATTTTTATGCATTTTTAAACAACTTTTTTAAGTCGAATCTTTTGCGGTCAAAATTAACCGTCTGATTTTGGTCACATCGTTCATAAAAAAAAAATTTAATTTTTTTAAAATTACTAATTTTAAATCAAAACCAATCTAATCAAAATTCAAATGATCAAATACTACTTAATAATGCAAGGTGATTTGACTCAATAACTCTTGTTAAGAGTTGTTTTGATAACTATTATGAACTCTTATAATTTTTATCCTGACAAGAATTTACTTTAAAATTATTTATACATCTTCTATTTATTCTATTTATTCTATGTTTACGAGAGTGAAATCCATTTAATAAAATAGGTTTTACTCATTTAATATTTTTTTATTAAATAGATAAATAAAATGTAAAATCAGATTCATAATAAAAATATCATTTTGATTTATAATGTGACTAAAATTATATAACGATTACAAGAAAAATAATTTAATATTTTTTATATATTGATAGGCTATGTATAAAATAATGATTTAAAAGCATTTTTAATTTTTTTATTATGATTTTTTAGTCTCCTTTAAGAAAATAATTTTTTTCCTCCAATTTAATATTTTTTGAGTTTTTTTATCCCCTTCAGATGTGTAATTGTCATATCAATTTATAATGTCATTCTAACAACAATTATGTATGTGGTGCTACGTCACATAATTTTTAATAAATCAATAAAAAAATTATATTATTATTAATATATTCAAATTAGTTAATTCATTTCTCACCAATATTTAAAACAAGGAAGGACAAAAAAATTTAAATTAAATTGAAGGAGTACTTCAATTTATAGTTATTTCATCTAGCTTGTAGTGTCTTTAGAGTTTTTTTCTTTTAACATCAACATAATTTAAATAAATCAAGTTGCTTAATTAAAATGTTAAATTGAAACTGTTTTTTCTCAAGAATATTAAAAACAAAGGAGGTATGAAAAGCATAAATAAAATTAAGTAGTCAAACTTCAACATGTGACAGAACAAACGTAACCCAAAAGAGAAAAGAAAAAAAGCCCAGGTAAGAGTGTGATGAAAGAAAATGTGTAAAGGGTAAAATTGGAAAATGAGAAAGAAAATGTGCAAAGGGTAAAATTGGAAAATAGAAAAGAAACAAAGTTGGTATAAATTTGAACGTAGAGAGATTGAAGAGTAGATTAGGGTTTCTGCAGCCACACTCCTTTTACAGAATGAGATAAGATTTCTCATTGATGCATCTGCAGATTTTCTAATCTCATTCGTCCCCAAAATATTAAGAAAAATGCTATTCCTACACCATTTTCTACACCCAATACTTACACCGTATGCACTATTCACCGTATTTATACGGTGAACAGTGTTTTTTTATTAAAATAATATATTTTTTTAAAATATTAATTTTTTTTAAAAAAAATATTTATTTTTAAAATTTATTTTATAACACAAATATAAGATTGCGCATTAACCAACTTCACAGTTGCATTAACCACAAAAATCTACATTATTAACCAGTTATTTTACCTATAATTTATTAACCACTTTCACTACTTCATTAACCAATAAAATACACACTATTAACCATGTTCTGAGAAATTTGTTCAAGTATTTGTGAACAGTAATTGAGGTGTAGGGTGTAGAAATGGGTGTCAACATAGCAATCCTGAAATATTAATAATAATAATAATAATAATCATAGTAATGCTATTCGCACCTGCGTTTTTGCTACTACTACCTCTCTCTCTCTCTTTCAATCGCTATGTATATTTTTACTTTCCATCCTTTCCTTGTTTCACATATCCTCTTTCTCTCTCTCTCATTCTCAAGAGGCAGTGACGATCGTTTTGGAGTGTGGATCTCGATGAATCGGTTACCGGCGAAAGTATGCTTGCCGGTGGCGTGGCATTCGGTGAAATTGACTATTTTGTCCTTTTCCCGATTATTTGCAGCCATGCATGGTGGCGCTTCTCTCCAGTGGCCGATCTCATCTTTGTACCAAAACTGAGCCTCAAACTAGACGAAACCCTACCGAAAAGGGAACCGATTATATCATTTATTGGATTTATCTTACCATGAAGTTAGGTAGAGTTGTATGGAGTGAAAGATGCGAATTCATGTTTGAATTCTATTCATTCAATTTTTACTCCCTCATTCCATACATCATCTAACCAACTTAGTGTTAACTGTTATTTCTGCTTTCATTTTCTTTATAAACAGTAATTAGGGTTTTAAACCACCATGTATGTATACTTTTTTTCTAAAGTTTAAGTTTCTGACTCAGAATTTAATATTAACTTGAACTCAATTAAGTATGATAGTGTAATTTAATTAAGTATTTTTTTTGTTTTATTTGAATCTGATTCTTGGTTTCCTCCACCATCATGTTTTTAACGTACTTTTCTTAACTAAGTTGTCGACACCACAAGTATTTTAGCATCTGAATTGAAGATTTTTGATCGTTCACACCTTCAATTTTAAGATTGTTGGAATTCAGTTTTAGATTTCTGGTCGTTGAAGGTTCTGATGTGATTATCTTGGATTGTTGTTTTATATTTCATAACTTTTAGTAAAAAAAGCAGATTCAATTTTATGTTTTATTGCAACTTCATAAAGCTTGGATTGTTACATGTGTATAATATAAAAATAACCTAAAGCTCTAGTTTCTTCCAACATGCTTCAAGCAATTTTATGTTTTACAATCTGGGTTATGTGAAACAATATGATTTGTGTAAATTAAATAATGATAAGTACTGATTAAAACAAGTTTAATAACTCCAATGATATGTCAACTTGACTTGAAAGTGTCAATATAGTCTGAAGTTTCATTGTGTCAACTTGGCTTGGTTGCTACAAAATAAAAGATAAATAAATAACTACATAATATGGTAAAATTAAATTTTAAAAAATGTATGATAAACTTATTTGTCACAATTGCACTAAATTTTTTTGTGAATATCTCTTTGTCTTTCTAACTAATTTCTCAACTCAAGATTTATCTCATTTTTTTATTATTACTTAGTTGAGTAGATCTCGTACATGTGGTGAATATTTTTTGAACATAAGTCTATGTCCATTTTTCCATGAACTGAAAAATCATATGCAATCAAAGTAAATAATTTCATGCTTTTAAAAACTCTTTGTGCATGCTTCAAAATTCAAAGAAAATTGTGGACTTTTTTTTATATAGATGGTTCACATGCCTTAGAGCATTTTGTCTTATATGCCAAGTGTACCATCCATGAAATGTTTCTGGCATAACTAAAGAAGTAGTTGTAATCATTGCAGCATCTTGATCTGTTAGAATTGTTTCAGGCTTTTTCCCATCCATTGCCTTAAAGAAAATTTTCAAATAACCGAAAATAAGGGTTTGTTTCACCATACAATAAAGTTTCTCCAAAAATGAATGTTTGCCTATGATTATTAAATCCAACAAAAACTCCCATCGGTCGATAATCCTTGTTTGTCCTGTACGTGGTGTTGAAAGTGATGACGTCACCAAAATACCCATAATCATTTATCATATGTGCTGTTCAAAATATATTTGTTATTCGTTCTTCAACATCCATTTGAGATTCAAAGAAAAATGATGGATTTTCACTTTGAAATATATCATTAATGCACCAACTTCACCATACTTTAGAGACTACATCCTTTTGGTTAGAAGATAATTCTTAAATGTTAGAATTTTGGGTCACAGTTGTAGCATTTAGGGTCTGTTTGGTTCAAATGAGGGGGAGGGGAGGGGAGGGATTTTAATGAAGGGGAGGGGAGGGGAGGGGAGGTAAAGGAATTTTTTAATCAAATAAGTGTTTGGTTCAAAAGAGAGGAGGGGAGGGGAGGGGAGGGATTTTAATTAAAAATGTGTTTGGTTCAGAAGGGGAGGGGAGGAGTTTTATTAATAATTTACAGATTTATCCTTATGATCTTATATAAGTCATACGATATTAAAATGTGAAAAATTCGTGCGTATTTTTGTTGGTAATAAAATTTCTAATATTGAGTGATTAAAAAAATATTTATTTGTCACATAAAGTTAAAAAATTGAGTATAATTGATTCGACTTATAACTTTCCAACATAAATTAAACTATATGCCAATAACATCGTTTAAATTATGATGAATCATATAACAAAACAAATATATAAAATAACTTATTACTAAATATTAATGGTTCAAAATATTTAATAAAATGAATAAACAAAAATAAATAAAATGATATGGTTTACAATTTGATATAAAAGAAAATATGATAGAGTACATAACAAAATTAAAAGAAAAAAACGAATATAACAAAACATAATTTTTTTATAAAAAAAAGACAATGATTATGATTTATATTAATTATAAAAATTATAAAATAATTTGAAGGTAAAGAACAATTATAATAATTTGATGAAAACAATCGAGAAAAAACTGTAACACAAAAGATAACAAATAGTTTTGTAATAATAAAATTAAACTGAGGATATTTTAGTAAATATAATAAATTATAAATATTAAAACTCATATTCCCTCCCCTCCCCTCCAAATCCCCCCAATTCGGAGGGAACCAAAAAATGTGTTTTGGAGGGATTTTGCTCCCCTCCCCTCCCCTCCCCTCCTAAAATTTGAACCAAACATATTTAATTAAAAATTTCCCCTCCCCTTCCCTCC